GGACCCCCCCAGCAGACCAGGGACATCAGAGCAAAGCCGCCGCCTGGTTGGCTTTGCTCGTTTGCCCGGGAGCAAAGCCGCCCAGGCGGCGGCTTTGCTCGGGTGTCCCTGGTCTGCTGGGAGGGTCCAGCGGCTTTGCTGGACCCCCCCAGCAGACCAGGGAGACCGGGAGAAGCTTTTCTCACCCTGGAGGACACGGTGACGACCCGCCGCCTGTGAGCTCCGGGGCGAGAAAAGCTCCATTCGTAAGTGTGGATCCGACATAAGTCGGGGACTGCCTGTACATTAAAATCATTTACATACAAATGTGATTTCAGCTTCTACTGTTAATCGGGCCAGCAGTTGATCTGTGTGGAAAACAGGCCTCAGCAGAACAGAAAAGCAAAGTTCTTCCTGCTCTCTGCCCACCCAGGCCCCGTGGGATAAAATGTGTTAAATAGCCTAACACAAAAGTTGTATTCTACTTTATAGAAGACTGTGCTAATAATTCCCAGGAATACCTCCCTTCCTGAAAGAAGGCCAGTGGAACACAGCTGCCCGGAGATGAACTAGCCCCTTCTTTAGAGAAAGGCATACGCCGGTAGGATACTGGCTGGGTCTCACTTAAAATATCACGTTGATCTAGCTCTGCAGCTCAGGGCTTTGAAGAATGTCATGCCCTGAGTGCCATGGAGAAGCTGGCCTGGCACAAGAGCAGCTAGGTCGATGGAAAAATTCTTCCAACCTGGCTGCCACCTCTTGGAGTGCTGGATTAACTACGCTGATGGAAAATCCCCTTCCCTCAGTGTAGGAAGTGTCTGCGTTGGTGCCACAGCAGTATACGCGCTCTCACAGTCCCTAACATTACGCTGGTCCCATTCTCTTGCTCCTGCATCTCAGAGACTCCCAGTGACGTCGATGGGAACTACTGAGAAATAAGCAGCAAGACAACTCAGGCCCTTCTCTCGGAGACATTCAGTTCTACTTAGCTGAGTGTTCTCACAGCTGGCTGTGCATCCATGCTCACGCTCAGGCTCAGGCTCTGCGTAGGTGGGGGAGGTAGTCTACTCATGGGGACAGACTCGCATGTGGATGTACACTGACTTCCTGGGGAATCGCGCAATCCCATCTCATCTGGAGGAAGAGAATGACTGGCACTGAGGAGACGGTTGTTGCCCCCCCCAATAGTCTCTCACCTTGGACAGAATCAGCTGCATGATCAGCTGTGAATTCATCAACGTCACCAACTGTTGCTGTGCTGAACAACTCCTTTAACTTCACCTGAAACGCCCTGAGGTTCACGCTAGGGCCCGTCCTGCACAACAGGCGTGTAATTGCTAAAGTCACCGTTGCCTTCCAATCACCCGGTCGCATGCAGGGGCACGGTTTCATCTAGATTGTTCACCGTGGCAATGCTCCTGTTCCTGCCAATCCTAAGGAGAGGTCATTGCTCTCTCCCTACCCTCCAGCCCAACATTCACCCTGGTGGCAACCCGCTCCTCAGAACATGAACCTGTGGCTCAGAAACAAGAGCTAACCGTCTTATGAGCAGTCCTTCCATGACAAGCTTTTGAGAGGACTTCAGCTGTGTCCACTGAAGACATTCAACTCCACATCTAAGCCCTGCAGGAGAGTACAGAGGATGACTGAATAGATCCAGAACGGGGAGAATATTGCTCAGTCTATTCTCACACTAACCAGGCTGCTCGACCACATTCAATAATCACTTTGGGTACGTCTACACTGCATGCTTACTTTGGAACAAGCTCCTCTGGAAGATATATTCCGAAGCAGAGCGGCCACGCCACAGGGAAGCCTCATAATTAGTCCAAGGCAGGCTCCCCTAATATAGATGCGCTATCTTGAGTTAGAGCCCCAGGAAGCACTGGGGAGAAATCACTTAGCTCCTCACCAGGGCCATTCTATTTCAAAACAGCAGCCGTGGAGCGTCCACACTGCAGCTATTTCAGAAGAGGAGCTATTCCTCGTGGGACGAGGTTCACAGAAGTTGGACTGAGCCGCCCGTTGATATTTGGGAATAACGGTGCGGTGTAGACGAACCCTCAGATTAAGTTACAAAACAGTCACTATCCTTGTTTCTAAAGCTCTCCAGGGATTTACCCCAGCCTGCCCCAAAGACCTTGTGAAACGCCTCGAGCTAGCACCTGCCTTCTGTCCCTTCCAAATGATCTGGAGAATGCTGGTGTGAGTTACCTTCTCATGTGGAATGAGCATCCGGACTCTCCCACCTAAAATGAATATTGCAGCTCTTTCCCCAATCAGTGTTGTTCTGCATAGCGCACGGTTCCCAGGCTCAAAACCCTAGGTCAGCGTTTCCCAAACTATGGGCCGCGGCCCGGTACAAAAATACCAGGCCTCAGCATACCTGGTGGCTGCTGGCAGGGCTGGCCTTAGGCCGATTCGGGCCCCGCGCCCCTGAACCCGGAAGTTCTGGCGAGTTACAGAGCCGGGGGCCCTACTCCACCAATACGTGGAGCTGAGTCTCGCCCCCGGCTCTGCCTGGAGCAGGCCCGGGCCCCCCCGCACGTCCACCCACCCCACCCCCAGAGCATCCCCACTGTGCGCGGCTCCTCCTCACTGCCTGCTGCTGCCCATGTGCGGCGTTGCACGTGGGCGGGAAGGACGCCCGGGCGTGGCGTGATGTCATGGCCCAGGATTTTAAAAGTCTTCGGAGGCACGTGGCGGGGCCACGCTGGCTCCGGGGTTGGCCCCCCC